CGTGTGAGGACGTCTGAACGCGGAGACAGACAAGATGGCTTAAGGGGTGTGAAATTATCTGATGTGATTGAAATCTTGCCTCTGTCAAAGATTAACCCTTGTCAGTGTCTCATATATACATTCTTATCGTTCATCGCGCAGCGGCAATGCAAAACCACCACTGGGCAGGTCTCAGTGAGAAGTATCCTTGAGCTGTCAGTTTGATCTTCAGCTGTCCTTAAAGAAACAGTTCACCCAAAAATGAAAATTTTCTGAAACTTTACTCACCCTCAGGCCATCCAAGATGTAGATGAGTTTGTTTCTTTATCAGAACAGAATTGGAGAAATGTAGCATCACTTGCTCACCAATGAATCCACTGCAGTGAATGGGTGCCGTCAGAATGAGAGTCTAAACAGCTGATAAAAACATCACAATAATCCACACGACTCCAGTCCATCAATTAACATCTTGTAAAGTGAAAAGCTGCATGTTTGTAAGAAACAAATCCAAAATTAAGGAGTTTTCTGGCCAAAATACGAGTCCATGATCCACTTCCTCCAGTGAAAAAGTCCATCCCCTGTTGTCCTCTGACATCGAAATCCACTGACATACTTGTTTAGAACTGTTTTGGACTATTTTCACTTGTAGATGGTGCTTGATTTGTGCATATTTTGCCGTCAGAATGAGAGTCTAAACAGCTGATAAAAACATCACAATAATCCACACGACTCCAGTCCATCAATTAACATCTTGTAAAGTGAAAAGCTGCATGTTTGTAAGAAACAAATCCAACATTAAGGAGTTTTCTGGCCAAAATACGAGTCCATGATCCACTTCCTCCACTGAAAAAGTCCATCCCCTGTTGTCCTCTGACATCAAAATCCACTGACATACTTGTTTAGAACTGTTTTGGACCATTTTCACTTGTAGATGGTGCTTGATTTGTGCATATTTCTCTCCTGATTCAGACAAGATGACTTTTTCACTGGAGAAAACAATATTATGGATAGAGGACTCATATTTTTGTCAGTAGCAATGGTTTAAAGCTAAAAATGTCTTAATGATGAATTTATTACATATATGCAGCTTTTCACTTCACGAGATGTTAACTGATGGACTGGAGTGGTGTGGATTACTTGTGGATTATTGTGCTGTTTTTATCAGCTGTTTGGACTCTCATTCTGACGGCACCCATTCACTGCAGAGCATCCATTGGTGAGCAAGTGATGCTAGATTTCTCCAAATATGTTCAGTTGAAGTAACAATCTCATCTACAGTCATCTAACTATTCATTTAAACGTGTCATTATGATCATAAGCCTATCAGTCCAGTTTAGCTCAGTGTTTCAAAGCCAAATATCAACATTTCAGCAAAAAAAAATGGAGGAAATGCTTCTCTGTTCAGCTGACTGGGCTAAGCATTTCTTCAACTGGATATTCCCAAATCCGTGCTTACAAAATGTGCTTTTGTCTAGTACAGCATGAAATCTCTGGCAATACATTCAGCTTGAGATTCCCATCTGAATTCACATTAAGACGAACTAAAGCCGATTACATCCACAACGCTAATAAAACTTCTCAACCAAATTTCCACGGTAGTGCAAATAGCTGTTAGTACAGTTATTTTTACTACAATGTGGGGACATGACATTATCCACCAAAAAAAAAGAAAATTAATTAATTAATCACAGAATGCAAATTTTTTGGTTTGTTTTATTTCTGCTCTAAATGTAGCCATAAATGACAATTAATCAACAAAAAAAATTACCATAATTATTTTTTTAAATATATTTTTTAAAAGATTATTTAAAGGGGTCATATGATGCGATTTCAAGTTTTCCTCCTACAATAATGTACAGTATTTGAAAAATAATGTGTTTTTTGAACATTAAAGCATGTCAACATATTCTGTTACACCAAATACACAAAATAATGATCTTTAAAAAAGCATCATATGACCCCTTTAAAATGTTAAAATAGACACTGGGACTGAACAGTACATAATGACATTTATTTGTGTTTTTTTCTTTCTCAAAAGCAAAAAAACAATGAAACTGCAAAGTCATTCTAGATTCAGGTTGTATGTCCCTGATTAATGCCTCTTGCTCACATGACACACAAAGTTGAATGTCAAGACAAAAACACTGCTGAAATACTTCTGCTGCTGTTACAGGCAAACAGGTTTGAATTCAAAATATCCATTTGATATCTTTTGTCAAGCATGTCTCGTGGTCTAAAGATCTCCTGACTCACTTATGGCGAAGACTGAAGAAAATTTGCATGAGGATTATTGCTGAAATTACATCTGTCAGCTTTACAGTAATATTCAGTACAGCTCTAATGCTTGTATTGAGACCCAGTGTCCAATATAATGGAAAAAAATCCTGTGAAAGACAAGCAATTCTAATATGATATGACTTCACCTCACATTAAACCTGTCAAAACTATTATTTATGTGGTTTTAAAATATAAATATAACATTTATTACAATACAATTATGCCATATGTTTCTGACTTGTGTCACAGTAAGGAACATTTGTGGCACTGCACCCACGGACAAAATGGCAAAAAACATAAAAAATGGACACAGGTTCACTGAAAGAACTGTGTCAAATATATGATTCATTTACAAATCAGACATTACTATGCAGCCTATTTAAACAGTTCATTTAAAAGAATCGACACAAAACAGCGATTCATTCACAAATCAGGCATCGCTAGCTTTGATTCTAAGCAGCCAAAAGAAAGTGGGACACTCACAACATGATTAATGAAATACTGTGTAGAATAATGTTTCTTAGGTACAATATACAGTAATCGCTCTCATCAGACAAGAATTAAATCAGTAAAATTTGATGAAAGTGGCTTGGTAAATGGGTTGACCGGCAATGAACACAGGAACCATGAACTGTGGGAACAACGACTGTAGAAAGAATCTATGGTGTTGAGGTGGAAACAGTCACCATGGTAAAAAAAAATAAAAATTATAATCTACAATTTTTTCAATGCAGAAAACATTTCTCACAGTAAGTTTAAGTCAATTGCTGTATAGTCACATCTTGTAGAAACAGCTTTTTTCTGTAGACTTCATGTTGTATGTGTTCACAAGGATTTTCAGCAAAATTAAACAGTAAAAACAGTGAAACAGCAAATAATGCAAAAGCTAGTAAACAAAAATATCAAAAAAGTGGCCAACAGAAATACATATTTTTTCCTCAAATTCCATCACAAAGAGTCACCAACTTAACCGCTGAGCAGAAGTCAAGGCTTTTCTCTCAAGTTCAGTGTGAAATACACATCAACATTCAACATTTCGACTAGTTTCCTCAGTATTGCAGATTCACAGCGGTTCCCAACCTTTCATGTCAGCTGAACCCCTATGATCTACATTAATGTACAAATACACTGAACTTCACAATATCTTTGCATGTTTACTGGTAGAATAATATGTGCCTTATTCAAACTTTTATATAAGCCTTAAATGGATCATGCTGCATATCCTGGAAGATACAGACATTTTAGAAGCAGAAGGGAGAGACAGTGAATTACAGATTATATATATTATATATTGTAAGTTAAGCTGACCCTGGAAATCTTGCAGCATACATTAGTTTCATGGGAGATAAAAAACGATTCAATTGTAAATAAAATCTATATTTTGCATACAGCACTGATGTGTACGTTTTTTTTTTTTTTTTTTACAAAAAAGTAATTTTAACTAAAAAAAAATGCAAAAATGTTACATTAAAATTGTTTAACTGTACATTGCCTAAACAAAGGAAAATAAAGAGAGATTGTAAAGACATTTCATGCAATTTATAACAAAATTTTTTGTTTTACAAATATTATTTTTAAGTAAATTTGATTTAGAAATTGTACATGATATTTAATAAGGAAATAAATATATATTTTTAAATTCTTATTAAATTGTTTATTGTAAAAACCCACAAGAAATTCCCAAGGGTACTCAAGACGAATTAGCCTTCAGGGTTGGTCTAGTCATGACTAAATTGGCATATAGCCATAAATTAAGATATTTTATGTTCCTGACAGTCAAGGGTTAAAAGTAAAGGATTTTATTCCATTTATTTCTGCACTGGCACCTCGCATCAAAATTTAGTGCTTAGTTATTATATGACGTCTTGCAAAAACACGTTTGTTTTTCTGCCACAGTGGCTCTTACACTCTAAAAAATGCTGGGTTAAATACAACCCAGTGCTGGGTAAAATAGGGACAAACCCAGCAATTGGGTTATTTTGACCCAGCAGTTGGGTTACTACCCAGAAGGTTGGGTTAAACATTTAACCCAACCGCTGGGTCAAAACAGCCCAATTGCTGGGTTTGTCCCTATTTTCCCCAGCACTGGTTTGTATTTAACCCAGCATTTTTTAGAGTGTACAAATAAATCATATGACAGGACTCTGTCTGTGCGCACACATCACAACTGAGCATCGTAATTTTACCACCTGACAAATCTCGTGGGGCGCAACAGGAGGAGGCAGAGGCCAACGCATGTCCGTTTCCCTTCGTCCTCATAATGACCCATCCTCACTTCTCTCACTATTGCATATGAAAAGTGAGCTTTTGGTTCATTTGTGTCAGATGCAATCGATAAGACGAGCCCACGCACACACACATACACACGCACGCACAAATAAACGCACGCGCAGACACCCTATCTATCATGACTATGTGATGAGAGATGATGACCTTGCGCGTGCATAGATGACAACTCCCTCAAAGGCACCAGGGTAAACGCATTCAGCCTCACGGCACACAACACAACAGGTGCTGTAAATGTGTGAAAACGCGAACGCATGCTTATAGAGAAACCTGGCTGCACCTGTTTGCACGTTCGGCAAGTGACAGTTTGCAGTTGCGGACATTGAAGCGAAATCCAATCGAAATGACACGGTACTGACCCGTACGCGAGCGGTACCGGGTGCCGCCACAACGTCTGCCATTCAAGGGCGGGCGTTCTCGCTGAAAACAAACGAGAGGAATCCACCAAAGTATCTCACCTTTTCCGTCCTCGTCCTCCCGATTCAGGTGCATGGCTGTTCGCCTTTGGCACGCCAACAAACGCTTGTTTCTTCTCTCAAGTCCCCTCCAAGAAAAAGTCGAATCCAAAAGGTGCTCTCGGGCTTCCAATGGGCGAGTGACCATGGAGCACTCTTCTCTCCTTCCCTGTTTATTTCTTTCTTTCACTCACTTGGCTTTTCTTTCCCAGTCCCCTCATTCGGCTGATGTCGGGAGATGGCAGTGAGAGGGTTTGAAGGGAGGGATGAGGGCGAGGAGTGGTGAGCTGTGTGTCCGTGTCACCGCCAGCTGATGGCTCGAGCACTAACATCTCAGTTCATGCGGGTGAAGTCGAGTAACACGGGACGCGTCTTGATCATTCACCGAGAGCGCCGTTAAATCAGCTCTGGAGGCTGCTCTCAGGTTTATTTTTGCATTATATGTTGAAAATGTCAACAAAAAAAAACTGTTTAAGCCCGAGCCATTTAAATGTCAAGGGGTAGAGATAAAACGAGCCAGTGATTTTGTACCGCAAAATCATAATTGTAAGTAAATAAAAAGTCATAAAGGTAAGTAAATACACTTATTTCTAATATGGCATCGAAATAAATGTTAAAATGTTTGTGTATGTGCATATATTTGGATACTGCATTCATGCGATATAAACACAACACGTGCAATCTTGAATTTTCAAGTTTTATTAATCCAAAATATATTTTATAAGTTCATTCATACGTGTTCCATTTTAAATTATAAAATTGAACAGCAACTAAAAGTTTTACCATCCAGCCTCTGTAAGTCATCATTAGCCCTGCCTACTTTAGCAAACTCAGACCAATCAAATCAAATCGCACATGTCAAGCATTCATTGGCAAATAAGCAACAGTAATGACATGTTTTTATAGGCCATCACTGGTTCCCTCGACGAAAACCCAACAGGATTTTTCCATCGGCTTTTGGATTATTGAAGAAAATAAGCTCCGGGACCAAAAAAAGGTTCATGATTCTTGCATGTTTTGTTCATCATGATAATCTTCACAAATGAACACCACATTCCTGAATTTTGAAACCTCAATACAGCCCGATGTAAAAAGCTAACATAGGCTATAATCGAACTACACCACAGATGCATGACTTCAGCGTCACCATCAATAACCTTCAGCCAACTCTTTCAGTCTTTATTTTAAAAAAAAAATCATTTTCCCTGGAAATGAGTTAGAATAGTTTGCAAGAGTGTGATTATAAATACAATGAGGCTGTAAAAGCAACTAGTGAGTAGATGAGTTTACCTGTTTGGCATGATAACGTTTAAGGGCACAATATGTATCCGGTCGTGCGTATATGTGGTAAAGCAGCGCAGTTTTATCATACTAGAGATGTTTGAAAGTTCTGTTATAATGCTACTCTGTGCGGTCGTCACCGGTCTATTAAAATGCACAACATATTAAAGCATCTTTGGTGTTTCTGTGTCTACAAAACAAAACATCGAGGAGTTATGACGTCATTAGCAGGCGACACAATGACACTATGGACACGCTCCGTATCACTAGTTAAAATTGCTTATTTCTCTGGATTTAAACATTCTTCGAAACATTTGGGATAATGTAAGTACACAAGTCAGCAAAATATATAACACTGTTCTAGTGGATTTGGATATTTTAATTTAAAAAATCTTACATATTGTGCCTTTAAGGTCCCTGACAAACTCTTTAGTCCCAATTAGACACTTGTTAGCAGCCACCTTTTTCAAGACAATAAAAGCTTTTTAAAAATATCACAAGGGGGTATTACTTGTGTATTTTATGTTGTAAATGAAAAACCTGAAAATATATTGAGCTTGTGTTCACCACAGATCTTATTCCAGGCATTTAACAAAAAAACGAAAAAAACTTTGTGATAATTTAACCAGAAGTGCTAAATGCTTACTCATTTCCAGGTTTTGACCTACGAAAATACATCATCCCTGCAGCAGTCCATGACTGGAAAATGAATCTTAAAGAGCTCCAAGCCTCCAACCTTTACATCACACTACATTTAAACATTTTTGTCTTAAAGTTTTGTCTTTTGCACATGATCAGTTACTCTTAGGCCTGGTTTCACAGACAGGGCTTAAACTAAAACAGGATTAGGCCATAATTCAATTAGGACATTTAAGTAATTTTTTATAAACGTGCCTTAGAAAAAACATTACTGGTGTGCATTTTGAGGCAAAATAAAGGCACTGATATATTTTAAGATCAGTCAGAGCAAGTTTCTTTCAGTTGAAACAGCTCAGATTTACATTTTAGTCTAGGACTAGGTTTAAGCCTTTTCTGTGAAACCGGGGGTAAATCTCTTATTGGCTGCATGTGGGTTGCTTCTATATTTTCGGCATATCTGAAGAAGTTGACGAGGAACTTCTTGGCTTCATTTGATGAAGTGTGTTCTTCTGGAATGCAAGTGTGTTGTAAGAATACGTTTCTGGAAATACTACACATATACCTTTGACCCATCTATTATTTGAACTGTAATATGACATTTGTGCATTTGGCAGATTACATTGCATTGAAGATTTTTCTTCCAGTTCCCTCAGAATCAGGCCCATGACCTTGATGCTGCCAGACTCACAGTTCTTCATGTTATATTTTCCAATCTGACTGCTTTTCGGCTGGGCCGGTCGCTGTTTTGTCTTCATTCATGATGTATCTCTCGTTTTATATTTCAGGCTTGTAGCTGAACCATATTTTATGCTATTTAAAGGAGTTTTATAAAAATCGTTCATGTGTAGTTGTAGCCTTGATTTAAGACACTTGGACTCTTTTTATATTTGTCAGTTTTATTGCACTTAAAGGAATAGTTCACCCAAAAATGAAAATTTGTTGAAAATGTCCTCAACCTCGGGGCTTTCAAGATGTAGATGACTTTGTTTCTTCGTAACAGATTTGGAGAAATGTATCATTACCTCACTTGCTCACCAATGGATCCTCTGCAGTGAATGGGTACCGTCAGAATGGTTTAACGTCAGCAACTTTCTCTAATCCATAATAACGCTTCCTCCAGTGAAAAAGTCCATCCCCATCAAAGTCCACCAACATGTTTGTTTAGAAATGTTTTGGCTTGTAAACAGTGCTTGATCTGGGTATATTTCTCTCCTGATTCAGACGAGATTTTACACTGGAGAAAGCAATATTAAGGACAGAGGACCCATATTTTAGAAGAAACAGTTTGAAGTTAAAAATGTCTTGATGGATTTGTTTCTTACAAACATGCAGCTTTTCACTTCACAAGACATTAACTGCTGGACTGGAGTGGTGTGGATTGCTTGTGGATTATTGTGATGTTTTTATCAGCTGTTTGGACTCTCATTCTGACGGCACCCATTCACTGCAGAGCATCCACTGGTGAGCAAGTTTGATAATTATTTTGCATTTATTAATATAAATCAGAACGAACCATTCTGAATTAGCCAAATAATATAGATTGCAGATTTGAGTTTATCTGCATTTTGAAGTGGCTTTGAGCCGGTTTGTACGTGGTTTGACAGAATAGTCAGTTTTATGAGGCCAATATTATGCGAGATACCTTGAAGGCTTATCAATTTGGTCTTCGCTGTGTGTAATTAGCAGTGTTTCGCCTTTCCTGCTGATTTTTGCAAGCTATTTAGCATCTCTACTTGACGTTGGATGATTGACAGCTGCTTATGCTAATTATACCTTCTGATGCTTTGATGACAACATTTCCTTCACCCCCCACCAAGTGCCATCAAACTCAGTGTGTTCTCTAAACATGCAGAAATGTCTGCTTTTATTAAGTCAGACTCATCTGGGATCACACTACATTGTGTGTCTCCTGAGACAATCTGTTTTCCCAGCTGGTGGAACAGCACAACAACTCAATTGCGACTCAGCTCATGGCTGCAGGTTCAGATCCACCAATGAAACCCAGCGATACTGACGCCCCTTAGAGGATCTTCACTAGAGATGCATTGCATTCTAATGGAGAGGAAACAGCAGCCTATCAAGCAGCTTCCATGCTGCAGACAGAGTGTTTTTGTATGAAGGTACTGCCTAAAGAAACCTGTTTCAGACTGGCTTCCAAAACAGCATAACATTGTGTCTAATGGTCTAGACAAAAATCAAGTAAGATTTAGACATATTATATGATTACAATAATTATTTTTGCAGTAAAAATGGAATCATGCCTTAAAAAAAATTAAAAAGTGTGAATCAGTGTTATTTTAGTTTAGTTAGACACTATTATAGTTTTTATTTTATTTTTACTTTTTTATTAAATATTTAAAATTGATTTTCATTTTTATATTATAAGTTTTAGTAATTTTGTTGTTTTTGTATTTATTATTATTATTTTAGTTTTTTATAATGTCTATATAGTTTTTTTTTATTAATTTCATGCCTTAAAAATTAAAAAGGACATTTATGCTGGGTTTGAATCGGTGTTCGTTTATCATTGAGATACTATTATCATTTTTATTAATATTTTAAATTAGTATTTACATTTTCTATTGTCATTTTAAATGTTAAAGTTTTAGTAATTTTGTTGTTTTGTATTTTTTTAATGTTTATATTTTACACATTTTATGCCTTAAAAAAATAACATTTATATAATTTGTGAATCTGTATTTAGTATCACTGAGATACTATTATACTTTTTATTAATATTTGAATTAGTTTTTATATATTTTTCATTTTAATTTTAATGATTTTGTTTGTTTTTGTAATTTGTTTCACGTTTTTTAATTACTTTTACTAATTTTCACTAATTTCATGCTTAAAAATTAAAAAGGGTATAATATTGTCATATTTTTGTTGTTTTTGTCATTCTTGTTAATATGTCCATATTGTTTATATTAATTTTATTTCAGTTTTAGTTTTACTTATTTTAGTATATCAAGTTAAACTAAATGCAAATGAGAATGCTGCCTTGGCATGCAGCTGATATTTAAAAAACATATTTCATTTCAGTGAACTTCAAATTAAATTACAATTTCATTTCAAGTTACTTAATTATAAATATACATTTAATAATATGACAAAAATGGTAATTAATTATGTTTTATTTTATTTATTTATTTTATTTTTTTGATGGTTAAGACAATTTGTGTTCTGTAAGATGGACCTCAACAGATTGCACTCCTAAAATGATGTAAAAATCCACCTAAAAGTCATTTTATATTTAGCACATTTCTTTTACTATATAAATTAATTTTCTTTTTTTTTTAACCACTGCATCATCAGCTGCCAAACTCTATGTGGGATTGTGGGAGATCACAGATGCAACGATGCTGCTTTCAAAAACGTCCGGTTAAGGCAGAATGTGTTAGTAGACAGAACGTTA